GTAGACAAATCAGAAAGGCTAATTTTCCTAGTTTGCAAATTTATTTATTTATTTAAAATGTTTTATCCTGCCTTTCTCTCCATGAAAGGACCCAAGGCATATTGCAACATTAATAGACAATATTTATAGCTAAAAAACAATGAGCATACAAAGTTGGCCTGCATCACTAAAAGACAATAATTAAAGCTAAAATCAGTGATTTAGCAAATTCTTAAAAGGATCAAACAAATACGACTCTGAGAACTGGTAAACAAAACCAATATTAAAATGTTTGCTTTTTATACTATGCAAATTAAGTATGTTGATTGTTGCATTTTTCCCAGATACTAGCATGTATTAGACTTGGCTTCATGTATAACTACCAGTGACTTGAGAGAACTAGTATAGTCCAGCAGTTAGACATTTGGATTTGGAAAAATGAGATCCACATTCAAAGCTTTGCTTAATCACAAAAGTTACTCTTTGTCCTTGAGTCAATCAGTACTCAGTCAGATCCACCATACAGGTGAATTAAAGAATATTAAAAGAATAAGATGGGAAAAGGAAAACCATATAAAGGACCCAGGTACATTTTTGGTGAACATAAATAATGATATTTTACCATGCACATGGAGTGGGTCTTTCTTTCTTTCTTTCTTTCTTTCTTTCTTTCTTTCTTTCTTTCTTTCTTTCTTTCTTTCTTTCTTTCTTTCTTTCTTTCTTTCTTTCTTTCTTTCTTTCTTTCTTTTAACCATCAGTTTTTCTTTAATGGCAACTCCTTCCTCCACAAATCTATGGGATGACCACAGAAATCTTCCAGGAGTGACACTGCCATATGATTTGCAAAGAAAAGTGCAAGAGGGAGGGCAACTGCTGAAATCAAAGTGTTATTTCCTTCAGAAATACCAAATGGGCATTAGTAATTATTCATTTCACTGCTGTGGCCCATATTGTAGTAGAAAATGAGAGTTGTAGCTGAGCTTGAAACTGTACTTCTTTGATCCAGATTCCCTCAGCCAGAATAATTACTGGCCATGTTGGCTGGAGAATTGTAGTCCAAGAGAGTAACTTTAGCAGTCTCTGCTTTCTAATATCAATCTCCTATACATATTTACTGAGGGGTAAGACCCATTCAACTGTAACCATAAGAACAAAAAAGAAAAAACAATAGCAACTAGAAGCTTCTAGTAATATATACTTCGTTTCTATGGCAAACTTCCCCTTGCTAGCCATGCTTCCTGACGTCCATGGATAATAAAATGGGGTCTGATGTTTCCAAAAGGCCATAAAATATTGGATTTCTAGAACTGGGAGAGACCCCCAAGAGCCACTGAATCCAACCCTTACTAAAGCAGGAAATGCATAGAAATGCATAATATCAGAGCTTGAAAAAGCTCCTTTTTTTGGTCTACAGCTGCCATAATCCTCCAGCCAGCAATGGTATGGTCTCATTGCTTTCTATGCACAATTTGAAGGGAGTTTTGTACAGTGATTTCAGCCATTGCAAACCAGCTATGGCTTCTACATTGCAACATTTATCTGAACTTTGTACAATCTCTCTGAAGTCCTGTGACTGTGGATGGCCATTCATAGGCTATCTTTTTGATACAGGATTGAGGACTGTTTTTTTAATTAAAATTTCAACTGTTGGGCTAAATGTGCACCAGGTAGCATGTCTAAAATCTAGATAAAACCCAGCCACCAGGATAATGTGGCAGCTCTGATTTAAACACACTTATCAAATACCTTCACATGTAGCTTGATTCTTATTAGTGAATATCCTTGAACTTTAAACCTGGCTTCCAAACTTCAAATGAGACAAATGCCAGACAGCGATAACGTGTCAGCTATCCTACAACTGGGCCCTGCTGAATCACATCCATGAAACGTGCAACAATAAACAATAATTTCTGGATGAGAATTGAACAAAGACAAGAGCAAAATGAGGAATTTCCTCATTTTCACTGTGTGTAAGCACATTCCACTATAGAGTAATTGATTTCCATTTGGCATCTCTCATGTCTCCATCTGTTCCTGGTTGGGGGTAAAAATATTGTTACTTAGATGAAACTGGGATGCCAGCCCACTTTATATTTGTTCTTTTAAAAACACAATAATAGTTAATGTACAACAGTGTGAAAGGCTGTGGAAATTTTTGTGTTTTACATGGAAGAACACATGCCCCTGAATACAAATCCATCTGACAACTTGATGAGGATATTTTAGTTGACTTTCTTAAATAGATCTTGGCTACATGATCCACTTGTATGCAGATATAAAGAGTTCTTAGAAGTATAGCTTTCAGGTGAGGTTTCATGGAGAAAATTATCCAAAGGATGGTGTGGGGAGAGGTACATTGACTTTCCAAGTTTTTGAAAATGGATTACAGTTGTGATTATAATCACACATGTTAAAGAATAAAAGCCAGTGAACTTATGTACGAGTAAACATGGTTAAGGTTGTAACACAGAAATGGTTGGCATTAAGACTACAAAACTAAAGAGAGTGAGCCCACTGAAATTAGCAGGACTTCATTCTGAAGAAACATAAAGAGTTGTACTGTACTATAAATCTGAATTGAAAGAGCTTTCAATGATAATTCAAGTTCAGAATGGAATGGGAAAAGCCATGTATTTAAATTAATTCTGTCATACATGCAAATTACTTTTAACAAATAAATTAAAAGTTCAGGCTTAGTGGCAGATTCTTATTTTGCTTGACAGAATATGTACACCACCTCATACTGTACTGACATCATTAAAAGGAAATTTGCCCTCCATAAGTTTACTGCATGGTCTGACAAAGGTTTGATAATCGGTTGATTAGCAGCCTCACAGACCAAAACAGTGTATCTGCCTCAAGGGATTTAGATCTGAAATTTACAAATCCATGTGGTGATATATCCTGCGGAGATCTTAAAGTTAAAATGGACTTTTAAGACTTGTAATTTACCCTGCTGCACCTGAAGCATTCCAAAAGGGAGGTTGTGTTCTTGTCCCAGCTCTGGCCACAGAGCCAGGGATTGGAAGTTAAATTTCCCATTCTGCTTTGTGCCTGCTGGGAGTAGACTCAGTCTTTATGGCCTTGGGCAAGCTTCCCAATCTCTGGGTGCTCCCAGAAAAGGGGAATAGTAAACCACCTCTGAGTACTGTCTTCCTAGAAAACTCTGCAAAGGGTTGCCATAAGTCAGAATTGACAGCACACAGTTTTTTTAAATTATTATTATTATTAGTAGTAGTAGTAGTAGTAGTAGTCGTCGTCGTCGTCGCAGCAGCAGCAGCAGCAGCAGTATTATTAACAACAACAGCTTAATATGTTGTGACACCCAACTCTATCTCTCCTCTCCATCTAAATCCGAGGAATCTGTTTAGTCTCTATATCAGTATTTGGTGTTCATGATGGACTAGATAAGGGTGAATAAACTTAAACTTATCCCAGACAAGACAGAGGTGTTCCTGGTGAGTCGAAAGGCAGACCGTGGAATAGGGATGCAGCTTGTGCTGAAAGGGTTACACTCCCTCTGAAAACATGTCAGCAGCTTGAGGATGCTCCTGGATTCGTTTCTGAACCTGGATGCCCAGGTTTTGGTGGTGGCCTGGAAAGGTCTGCCTAGATGGGGCCGCCTTTGAAAAGTGTTTGGAAACTTCAGATATGGTTCCAGTAACAATTCTAAGTACTGTTTTTAACCTATGAAGCCCTAAATGGATTTGGTCCAAGCTATCTCAAGGATTGCAATTATGAACCTTGCTTGGGTGTTAAGATACTCAGGGAAGGCCTTTTTCTCAGTCCCATCACCTTCACGGGTGCTTTTGGTGGGGACATGAGAAAAGGGCCTTCTCTGTTGCTGTACCCAGGCTCTGGAACTGTCCCACACAGGAAGCCAGACTGACCCCATCTTTGCTGCCGTTCCACAAGTCTTTTCTTTTCAGACAGCCGTTTTCTTAGTGATTGGTTGTCCAAGAGGAGTTTTTACATGGATTGTTGTTCCTTGTTGATTTGAATGTGTTTTTAGTGTTCATTTTGTTTACTATCTTTAGTGTGGTTTTTGTTTGATTTGTTTTTAATTTTTGCATACTTATTTTCAATATTTAATTACTGTCTTTTAATGATGTAAGATGCCTTGAGTCCTTTTTAAGGAGGAAGGTGGAGTAAAATTATTTTAAATAAATGAAACAAATATTATGGTAAAAATAGTGGATCCAGAGTACTGTGGTACTCAGCAAAGCTCCAAACACTGATAGAGGGTGTGTTTTTTTGCAGTTGTTTCCCCTTACTTCCTGAGATGCTGATTTAAAGAGCTAAAGGGCCATTGGTGAAAGTCATCTTCTTACCCTCTTCTCTGAATTTTGAACAAAAGTAGTCCTCCCATTCATGCAATAGCCAATCTAGATCCAGCTCATCTGGGATCAGGATGAATATGAATGTTGAATTTCCTAAATAGTTATCTTCATTTACTTTAAAGAGTGTACATGTGTTTCTGTGAATAACCTGTGTTTTGTTATACCTGCTATTCAGTTAACACTTCATTTGTCTGTAAGGCTTTATAAGCTCTAAATAACTGCTTGTTTAAGAAGCAGGTAATGTTGGTTTCTCTTCGTGGGAATAGTGCTTCGTAATGTAAGAGTTGAAATGCATCATCTCTACATTGGCAAGCTAGAAGTCAATCAATTAGCGAAGCCTGCATGCATAATTAGCCTGTTTTCTTGTCAAGTTTGTACATCTGTTTAATCCATAGAGATCTCCTGGAGACAAAATTAAATGGTCTTTACAGAGAACAGCCTAAAAAAGATCAATGCCAGCTTCCCAGTGAAGTTGGCATCACTGTTATTCTGTTCTGCATAATTAAGCCATACAACTGTGGACAAAAACAGATATGTCATCCAAATAGTTTTCTGTTAGAAAAAGAAATATGATTAAATATTTTATATACTGTACTTTAGAATCTTTTATGTTATGAGCTTAAAATTAACAACACAAACTTATGTGCTTTCTTTCTGTTCCCCCACCCTTTTGAATGTTAGGAACAGGTTCCAGTTCCAGTTTACCATCCAACTCCAAGCCAAACCCGCCTAGCAACACAGCTTACAGAAGAAGAACAAATTAGGATAGCGCAACGGATAGGTCTTATACAGCACCTGCCGAAAGGAGTCTATGACCCAGGAAGAGATGGCTCAGAGAAAAAGATTAGAGAGTAAGTAAAGAAGTACCACTATTTATGATAACCTACCCAGTTGTTCCTAGTATCTTTTGGTGAGGTAGAAGGCAGAGTGGCTAACTGTAAGTAGAGACAAGATCCATAACAAGGGGAGCAAGAGATAAGCAGCAAAATATGGTAGCTGTGGTCAATTTGACTGTGGGCTGTAAGAAATTAAAGAAACTCCATACTGCAGCACAGGCATTTGAGATGGAAGGGTGCCAGAAGGGAAGTGGCCAGTATCCCCTACCCTTAACAGTAGATCACTCAAGAGTCTTGTTGACTTACTGATATACTACTTTCTACTTCTTTTCTACCTGGATTATCTGCCATGCTTTTCTCTTTGTTGTTTTGAAAGACAATTTTTTGTTCCCATATATTTCTGTTATCTTGGGGTGCTTCAAATGACACTTTTATTTTAGAATGGTCCTGCCTTACATGTAGAATTTAAGGGGAAGGAAGCTTGATCAGAGAGCATCAACTTCCATTTGTAGCCCTCCAATTCATTAATCTGTTTGCAACCCTCCAATTAATTAATTAATTAATTAATTAATTAATTAATTAATTAATTGGAGGGTTGCAAACAGATTAATGAATTGGAGGGCTACAAATGGAAGTTGATGCTCTCTGATCAAGCTTCCTTCCCCTTAAATTCTATATGTAAGGCAGGACCATTCTAAAATAAAAGTGTCATTTGAAGCACCCCAAGATAACAGAAATATATGGGAACAAAAAATTGTTCATTGAATGTTATTAATATGCCACCTTTCCCCCAGACGATCCAAGGCAACTCACAACTAAAATGATACAATAATAAGTTTTTTAAATGCCATAAAAAGTTTATTAACAACAATTACACATTTGTCAGTATTAAAATCAAGATTTAGAACAACTTTAACAGTATTTAGGTAAAGGTAAAGGTTCCTCTTGACATTTAGTCCAGTCGTGTCCCTGTTTCCCGCTCATCCCTGCTTCCAAGCCATAGAGCCAGCGGTTGTCTGAAGACAGTTTTCGTAGTCACGTGGCTAGACACAGAACACCGTTACCTTCCCACCGAGGTGGTACCTATTTATCTACTCACATTTATATGCTTTCAAACTGCTAGGTTGGCAGGAGCTGGGACAAGTGATGGGAGCTCACTCCGTCGTGTGGATTCGATCTTACAACTGCTGGTCTTCTGACCTTGCAGCACAGAGGCTTCTGCAGTTTGACCCGCACTGCCCCCACGCCCCCAAAAAGTATTTAAGAATCTCTAAATTGAATAAATATAGTATTCTTGAGACCCCCACTTATTGCTGAAAAGCCTGTCTGAAAAGAACTTTGCCTTAGAACAGAAGGACAAGGGGGAGTGGGCCAAGCAACTTAATGAGGCAGCACATTCCAAGCTTGGGAGCATCCACTGAGACGGCTTTCTCTCATGTCTTCACCAAAGGAGCCTGGGAAGGTGGTGGACTCAAGCCATATAGGGCTTTATAGGTAATAACCAGCACTTTGAATTGGCCTCCAAAACAAACTGGCAGTAAGGGCATTAAATGCTCCATGCAACCAGCACCAGTCATCAGTTTGGCTCCAGCACCTTGAAAGTTTGACTGTGAGTATCATGGCAGCAACTACTTTTACCTCCCAGAGTTAGCTAATTAGCTTCCTGTTTTCTAATTAGATTTTGGCATGAGACTCCTGTGATTTCTTAGTTTTCAGACATCTCTCCGATACTAATTCTCAGCTCTAATAATATTATGTTTCTGTCCTTAGATCTTTGCTTAGCCCTTCCATTAACTTTCTGCAGAAGCCTTCCCACCATTCTTTATCCTGATAGTATCTTAATATTTATGCTTTCTATTAGGGACCATAAAATCTGCAGTGTAGTAGATACTGTTCATACAGTGCTTGTAAGCATTAGTTTGAATTTTTCAAATATGCCTATTAGGGGCATACATAGTTCAGTGGTTCTTCTTCATAGCCTCTGTAAATCACACCCTGGGTGATCCACGCTTGCGCGGAGCCTAATCAGAAGATTCTAGAGCTTCTGCAGTAGCAATAAATAACATTAGAATAATCCCCCCCCCCAGTATAAGTACCTTGGCGCCAAGCATCCCCTTTCAGTTTCTTTCAACTGCTGCATTGAGAACCTCATAGTTTGTTCTGCTTCTGTGAGTAAAGTGAAAGAGCTTAATATTGATTCCTTTTTATTCTTATTTCATTTTTCTTATTACATTTATCAGTTTTTTTCTTCTCCGCAATTGGCCTCCCGCCCCCCTCCATCCAACCCCATTTTCTCTTAATTCGTTTTTCTCTAAATTCATGGCCCCTTTGGGCCCATTTAAAGACAGATCCAATACTTTGGCCCTCTCATGGGAAGAGAAGACTCCCTGGAAAAGACCCTGATGTTGGGAAAGTGTGAAGGCAAGAGGAGAAGAGGACAACAGAGGATGAGATAGTTGGACAGTGTCATTGAAACTACCCACGTTCAGCACGCTCATCGGGTTGCCATTTGCCCCAACTAGTGCTCTTTTCGACAAACTGCATCTACCAGCCGACTGGGCATTTTACCTGGTTTGATGGTACCATCTAGCAGTCTGCCTCCCTCTCGACAGCCATCAATGTTGAAATCGCCGTACCACCAAGACTCTACTATACCTCAAGCCACTCCCTACCTGGCACCGAAAAAGCCCAGAATGGTCGAGCAATTCTCTTCCACTTGTGAGGCTTTTACAGCCCCAGCCTCCTGATAATTTCCTACCAGACTAGAGGATGGAAATCATTCTTCATGCTCAGCATCACCAGCATCCGTATATTTTATTGCTATGCTGTTTAGACATCACAGGAACACAGGCTCTGATATCGATGATCCTCGATACTCATCCTGGTCCATGGACACCCGCTCCATCCTGTTACCTCCACAAGATTCCTGTCCTTCATTGAATCCAAGACATCGACCCTGACACTGTTATGATACTGGGCTGGACACCGAGGTCCATCCACACCAGACAAGGTCCATGGACACTCAAGTGCCCTCTTTTAATGTTGACAACCCTCAACATGGATGGATGTCCATGGACATGCCCCCTCCATCTATCTCGGGTTATAACCGACAATACTATGAATTCCAGCCTGTCGACACTGAAGTTGATCGACAGTCTGTTGACTCCAGACGTGACCTTGAAGGCTCTCACCATGGATCTTGACCTCAGACTCCATCGGTATTACTCACCTTGCCAGAATCTGACATTGTCAATACCGACCCACTGTCACCGGCAGAGGATTTCCAGACTTATACCCAACTTATGATTCATATGGCTAAGTTTCTCGATCTCCAGATCCACCGTCTGTCGATGGAACCAGCTGATCATCTATACGATCTGTAAAGACACTACTACTCTGGTACACATATCAGTGTTACCATCCCTCTTTAGCACTGCACAACGATCCTGGACAAAACCAGCCTCCTCCCATACGATGTCTAAACGGATCGATAATCTCTTTAGAGTTCATGACTCAGGTGCCATTTTTCTCCAGAAACAACCAGCTCCGAATTGTATATTTGTTGAAGCCTCACAATCGAGATCTTGACACCGACAATCCCTCATACCACCAAATAAAGACAGTCGGTGAATAGACTTTATGGGCAGATGGCTCTACTCTTCTGCAGCTTTCACCATGAGAGTCGCTAACTATCAAGGAGCCATGGAAGCTTACCAACACTTCATTTGGGATAATATGTCCACTTTTATTGAATCCCTACTAGAGGATATAAAGATACTAGCCCAAACCTTCCAACAAGAAGGCCTTTTTATTGCTAAGCAACAGATGCTTTCTGCCCGTCACACTGTAGATGCTACAGCGAAGTCTATATCCATTTCAGTAGCCCTTCGCCACTTTTCCTGGCTCAGAACAGCCAACCTAGCTGAAGATGCCCGTGCACATATCAGAGACCTCCCTTTCGATGGGGCAGGCCTCTTTCATGCTGAAACTGATGACATACTAGAAAATGCACAAAAGAAACAATCAGCAGCTAGACATTGGGGAGTCTACCCTTCCTACCAGCAACGTCCTCAACAAAATCAATTCAATAGAGACGACCTTGTAATTCTTACCAGAAGTTTGAATGAGATCCTCCAAGACAAACATCTTACAATCCCTACTTTAAAAATCAAAGAGCCAAATCCCGGCAACAGCCTAGCACTAGGTGAAATGACTGGAATCTCAAACACCATGTTTGACGCTCGTCTGACCGAGATCACAACCCAACCCACCAACCTTGCCCTTTGGAAACACTTACCTACATGGGAATCCATCACCACAGATGCCTGGGTGCTGTCTATCATCAAAAATGGCTACTGCATCCATTTCTTCGACATTCCTCCAGCAACACGTCATCACTCCACCTTCACAACCTCTGCAAATAGAAATAACAAATTTACTTGTCAAAGACGTCACACAACCCATCTATCAAAACAATGGGTATTTCTCTCACTGTTTCACTGTCGCCCTATCTTAGATTTGAGACAACTAAACAAATACATCATTGCCACAAAATTTTATATGATTACCCTAGAATCAGTTCTTCCCTTACTTCGAAAGAATGACTGGTTCACCATCATAGACCTAAAGGATGCTTCTTCATTGTGGCCTCTGTGAATACACACAAAAGGGGTTAAATCAGTGCCTGTGCTAGACCTCTTGGAATATTCTAGAGCTTGAAGAGAAAAGTAACAAAGTTTAGAGCATGCCCCAATAGCGCATGCTCCACCCGCCCCAGCCTCCAGTTCCATTTTACCGCCATCTGGCTAGGAACCTGTCGCTTGAGCTTCGCTAATTTCGTTAGATTTTTCAGTATTTTCTGACCATGGACTGTCTTTCTGACTTCGCTATTCTCCGTTGCCCTGACCTCGGACTACCTTTGACCATTCTCTTTGCCTCACGCTGAGATTTATTGTTTCCGGACAATTACCCGGTCGTTAGCGGGCCATGCACCTTCAATCAACAATCCACATTAG